TGTAGGAAAGGTGAGACATTTTTGTAAGTAGCTATGACAAAAGTGGTAAGAAGCAAATGAGAGAAATTAAGATGAAAATGGAAAGGGTTGCATTTCAACAGGTAATTTCAGGTAAAAGAAATAGCCCACGAGGGAGGGGTTGGCAAGTGGCATGGTGATTAAGGGCTCAGGACTCTGACATGGCTGACCATGGTTTGAGTCCCAAACCTAGCAGCTTGCTTTCTCACTTTTCCTCTCTCTCTCACTCAGTCCCTCTCTGGTCAAATATGAATAAATAAACAAACAAACAGTTAAATAAAATAATTCTTAAAATAAAATAAAGAAAGAAATAGCCTGGGAAGATACAAAGAAGAGAGGAGGAGACTGGATAAGAATCACAAAGGGAAGATGGCGGAACGCACGGAGCAGAACAAGAGTAGGTGGACAGATGACAACCTTGGCATGTCAGCTGAAGGAGTCTTATTAATGATTCGATGGGAAATGAGAAGCCACTAAGAATCTTTGAACATGGCAGTGATACGATCTGAGACATATTCATCTTGTAACCATGTCTGTTGAACTGGAGAAAAGTGAAGTAGGGAACGGGGGAAGCATTTGCCCCCACACTAACTTCTGCTCCTACTTTCTCTGTTTCCGTAGATGTGGAATTTAGAAACTAAAACAGATAATCTCATCCCAAGCAAACATTAATGCTTTTAATATTCACAATCCCATAAAAATGGACACACACAAGAGACCAGCAGGTAGCGTAATGGCTATGTCGCTGTACTCCCATGTAGCCAACCACAGTTCGAGTCCCAGACCCGCTGGCTTAGACTCACACCGGGCACATGTGTGTGCATGCCCAAGATCCCGAGAGGAGAATGGAGGAGGAGGGATTGTGGTGTGGCCATCCCCCCTGGGTTTGATTTCTCACTTTCTGTCTCTCTGTCTCTGTCTTTCTGGCGAGCGCACGCACCCTATAGGAAAAACTTCTCCAAAAAAAAAAAAAAAATGGACACACACTCACACACACACACACACACACACACACACAAATGGTGGAAAGAGAAAATCTGAAAACTAGTAGAGTCTGGGTGTCAGAGAGACAGAGGCTACAGAACTCAGGGTGTCAGAGCAGCTTTCGACTAGTCCCGGGTGGTGGGGACATTTCACATGTTGTTCTGAATGCTCTGATGCTCATAAAGACCTTGGGCTTCAGGGTAGACCTAGACAGTGACTACTCAACCAACACGGTGCCCCTGCCCTGTGTCTAAGGATGACAACACTGACTGACCATGGCCTCTTTAACTCTGAACCCAGATTAGTACCCAGAATCCTTTGCACAGGCTCTAGAGAGTGTCACAGCCAGCAGAACAAAACTGGCTCATGCGATAAGACCTATTGGCCATTCCTGGTGTCGTTTTCACAGTGCGGGGTCGTCCTATCATCTACGCCACCTGAGTAGGGACCGAGTCTATCATGACCCCTACACGTACCGGCATTGCCTACTTTTAAGTTATGTAGAAAGACAGTAATCGAGATGCTGCTAACGACTTCGTTTTCTCTCCATGTCATTACCTGTCAGGTATGTTTGCTCGTGGATCTCGGTGATGCTCAGGAGCTCAGCGTTCTGCTGCTGGCAGCTCTTCCTTGCTTGGTGCCAAGTTAAAGCAGACTTGGAATTTATCTGGTAAGAAATGCCAGTCAGCGGATCTTTATTCCATAAGCTTTCACTGCCCTCGACTGTGAAAGAAAAAAAAAAAAAGGTCAAATGGGATTTTCTGCATTATGTATAGAAGACACTTTCAGTAAACAAGTTTTCTTAAATGGTCCTAGTAACATTGTCACCTGAATCATTTTTCTTTTCCCTTCTTTTTTTTTTTTTCTTTTACTTATGTTTAATGTGTTTATGAGATTTTCTTCACTCCTGAAATGAAGAGTGGGCTTTTCAAAGGATTGGCCATATCTAGAGATAGACCTAAAGAAAAGCAGGCTTCGGGACCAGCAGTTGGCATAATGGCTATGTCCCTGGACTCCCATGTAGTTGACCGTGGTTTGAGTCCCAGACCTGCTGGCTTAAACTCATGCCAGGAGCATGTGTGTGTGTGCCCAAGATCCCAAGAGGAGAATGGAGGAGTAGGGATTGCAACATGGCCATCCCCGCCCCCAGGAGGGGGGGTGGTGATTTCTCAATTTTTGTCTCTCTGTTTCTCTCTATCTTTCTGGCGAGCGCATGCACCCTATAGCATAAACCTCTCCAAAAATTTTTTTGTAAAAAAGGAAAGAAAAGCAAGCTTCATCTTTCTAATTTTTCCTGGGGACATTAGGAAGTGAGGAAAATATAAAGACAAAGGATAGAGATACCTCTCTGACTTCCTTAATCTAGGGGAGAAAAAATAGGAGAAAAGAAAATAGAAGGATGAATGTGGGTAATCGGCCTGCCCAGTCTAGTTGTTCTTTTCAGAAACCGGGAAAGGTCACAGACTTCCACAGACCAGCAGGCCTCCATCTGAACTGTAGTGGTTTGACCTTGGCAGTGTTGTTACCATTCAGAGTCTCATTTCTCATTGCTGGAATGTATTCAGTGGAGGTAAAGCTCTTAGCAATGGCAGGTTCTAATGGTTAGTTTTTCTTTCCTCAGAGGAAAAAAGCAATTTTAGCTTCTATCTTCCTTTGCTATTTTACGATTCCCACATGTATTTCATGAACTCAGATGTATTCTGTGAAAGGCCAAGAACAAACAGATAGACAGGACTTACAACCTTCTCCATTTGAGATATTTGGGAAGTTAGTAAACAAATGAAGTATTTTCATATGTGTTATGTTGTAAAAATTTCTCCTTTTTCTTTTTAATAATATACAGTTATATTGATGAGCCCTGTAAAATAATCATCTCTTCATTTATTCGTGAGAAGAGAGAAAGGATTTGGTAACTTCTCAAATTTTCTGAGAAGTACTTCACCCAATGTGGAATTGCCCTTTGTACCTGATGAGGAAGCGACCCTGGGCCTTTCTATCACACATAGACCGCACGCTGTGGTATGAAACTTGCACACCCAGGACACATCAAAGAGGAAGGAAAATAGGTCAACATTTGCTTCGGGCAATGGCATGGAAATGTCTAAGATGTTTTAACTATACTCATTGTGTGTTTCTACAAAAATAAATTTCAGTTAGTAATGTTAAATTAAAATGATCTGAAGCCTCACGAGTTTAATGTCCATGCTCATGCAATGATATATATTTGAGGTTTATTGGAAGATGGAGATGCTTTAAACAAATAATTTTATAAATTTGGAGGGTTCGGGGATTGTTGAGGAGGGCTTAGGAAGAAACCAACATGTGAATATAAGACTCTTTGTTAAAATGATATGTATATTAACAGCCTTGATTTCATTATCACACACTGCATATATGTTTTGAAAACTGTGTTGTACACCATAAGATGTACAAAAATTAGATATAAATAAGAAATTATAAAATTTTTTTGGAGAGGTTTTTTTTTTTGGCTATAGGGCACATGCGCTCGCCAGAAAGACAGAGAGAGACAGACAGAAGGTGAGAGAGAAATCACCCAGCTCCCCCGGGGGTGATGGCCATGCAGCAATCCCTTCTCCTCCATTCTCCTCTCGGGATCTTGGGCATGCATGCACACACACCTGGTGTGAGTTTAAGCCACTGGGTCCGGGACTTGAAAACCACAGTCAACTACATGGGAGTCCAGCGACATAGCCATTACACTAACTACTGGTCCCATGAAATTATAAAATTTTAGAACTACAAAAAAAAAAAGAAAGAACGTGCAAGACATTTTTTAAAAAAAGGATTATTTCTTGTCCATAAATAGAAGGAAGGAATATAATTGGCCAAAGGAAAAAAGCAATCAAGTCTTCATTTAAAGAAAGTAAATTGTGTAGGGTCAGTCCCATAACCTAGTAGTTAAGGGAACCAGATCCTACATGACAGATCATGGCTCAAATCCTGGACTGAGTAGCTAGAAAACACACCAGACATGTGTACATGTGTGTCCAAAATCATGCCAGGATGGAGAAATGGAGGAGAAAGAGGTGTGGCATGGCCACGCCCCCTCTGAGCGTGCTTTGTCCTGCCCTGTCTCGCTGCCTCTTTCTGGCAAGCACACGTGCCGTGCGGCAATTTTTAAAAATCTAAGTAAATAAATATGTTGTTCACTTTAAATCAAAGAATTAAAACACACTTTCGAATGAATGTATAGGTTTGCTGACTGTACAACATCTCAGAGTCTAAATTCCCGCAGCACACCAGCATAAAGAATGTTGAAAACTAAAGTTGCAAAGAATTGAAAGAACACTCTTCCTTTTCCTGTTCTCATGATACTTGAAAGTAAATGTCTAAATAGAAGGAAAGCATTACAATAAACAATGCAAAGGACAATGAAGAGTATAAATTAAATGTCACTAGGTCATTAACTGGTCTATTATCTTCCTTTATTTTACCTGTTAGTTTCAGTTAAATGTCAAATCAAAGGATCCTTTGAAAGGAACACAAGATAAAATAGACTGAGAAATTACAAAGCCTTTTAAAGTATGAAATTCATAAACTGTGCCATCAAAGTTGAATGCACATTGAAATCAAACATTTATTTAACTTTCCCATTTAACCTAACAAAATAAATGTATTGACAATTCGGTTTTGAGGACATAACAAACTAAAACATTATTCCACTGAATATATTCAGGATGTTTATAGTCATATCCTCCAACCCATATCCAAGGATATCAAAAGATGGGAGTTTTCTTCGTGACTTGTCGTGTCATTCATGAAATCACAAATTCATCCAGGAACCCCTCTGCTAACCTCACCTAAGTGCAGGATGTTATAATCAGACCTGTGAAATACATGCTCCTAAGAAACCCCATGATAACAAATAAGAAAAGACCATTCCTTCTAAGTAAAGGAAAAAGACACTCCTCAATGACCAAGATATAAGTATTGTACTGCTTTGTCTTGAGAGGAAAAAAAAAATAAGGCTTAGTTTTTTTAGATAAAAAGACTTCTGAGTATAAAAGTTAGACATCTATAAACTTTTAAGGAGAACCAAGTCTCTAAGAGAGGCAAATACCTCATTAAGAGCAGGAGAGCACTAAATCTATGAACAGGAAGTCTGTGAACCTTTGTGGGGATTCACCCAGAACAGAGGAATTGTCTACAGAAGACAATTACCAGAATACCGGGGAGAGGGGTGTCTTCAAAGAGTGCATGGAAAATGCATATCATGAAAAGACTATGCATGGATTTCGAATGTTTTTGCACCAAATAAACTCATATGTTAATTTTATTTTCCCACATGTTTTGAAGTCCCCACGGATATGAAGCTCTAAGAAATCAGACTTAATTTCAGTGGGATAATTAGGGAGTATATATCAAAAGTATATATAACAAGAAACAAGAGCTACTCTGATCCCATCTAAAGTAGCAGGTAAGAGGTCAGAAGGTAAGAAGTCCATGCAGGTAGAAGTCAGCAGCAGGAAGAGGGTGTGGGATAATGGGAAAAGTGAAGCAAAGGATTCTTCCTAGTCCTCTTTCCTCAGCCCCTAGTTCTGCCTCCCAAGGTTGATACCCTCCTCTACCCCACCTAAAACCTGCCATATTGTTGCTTTACAGTCTTGTGCCTGGAAAGAACACCAGCATTTCATGTGCCATGGTAACGTCCCCCTAACTCAATGCAATAGCATTTATTTTGCATTACTGCAATAAAATTTAAATTATAATTTTATAAAGATCTTCAAGCACAAAAATTACCCACTTCCACTGATTCATAGCTGAGTTAAATTAAAATGATACTCTTCTAAAATTAAACCTAAGGAGGGTATCATTATTACTATTTTCACCATGAGGAGCCCTTTTCATTCCACTGACACAAAGTTCAAGAGCTCCCTCACACCTCCCTCTTCACCACACCATGTATGAATGATATCATTTGAGTTCTAGTTTTGATCTATGGTTTCATAAAGGCAAACCATTTGGGGTGTGAGGAAAGTCCTTGCCCACCTCCAATGTTAACTGTATATCACATCAAGAACACTAACTGTGCACTATAAATGGCCCTAAAGTCTTAGAAAATGACGCATTGCAAATGGAAGGAGAGGGGAAGAGGGAGAGCGTGCAGGAAGGGAAATTCAGGAAAAATGGAAAAGACATTTGTGGGACACAGATATGGTTTGTTGCCTATTGATGTTGTGTATAGTATTCTCAACTTGACCGGTGTGTGGCATAGATCATGCTGGTTAAAATCTCTTTACAACCTAAATGATGTATAGCAATTGAATGTATAAATAATAGTAAATAATAATAGTAAGTAAATATTTTTTAAAAAAATAACTGATTGCTGGAAAAAAATAAAATGGTCATTTAATAGGGGGAGTCCTGGGACAATGGGGTTGTAGTTTGGTCTTGTTAGCAAGATCTAAATATACATTGAAAAGCCCATGGCTGAGAGTCAGAAGATTTGTGTTCTAGTCTTCACCCAATATGGCATTGTCTCCATTGTGGAATGAAGGATGGTAGTGGATATAATGAGATAAAAGTGAAATCATTCTGCATAAACATGCCTAGGTTAATACAAAGTCTTATCATTGTGTGCCATGATAGCTGTGCCCAAATTTATAATAGACAGATACTTACATTTCAGTGGGCAAAATCCAAACAGCTTATCTGTGTCATAGTCTGTAGTGGTTCCACACCAGAGCCATCCGTCTGAACGCCCAGCACTCGTGCAGTCTGCGTACCACTTCTTCTCAAACTTGAATGGAAACGCACAGGTTGCTCCATTCGCGTTGCCCAGTAGCGTATACATGGCTAGAGAAACGTTGACGTGCACTTAGAATGTGAGGTAGTTCTGAACACCAACTTTCCAATAAGAAACATACAGAAAGAATGGGTCCCGATCCCACTTGGTGCACCCGCACGTGACATGCACACGCACCGTGCACTTGGTGCTCACACACCACCCCCTTTGACCTCTTTCTCAATCTTTTTCTGGGTCCACACAGCAGACTGTACATAGAAATAGTTCTAGGAACACTTTGGTTCCATCCACCATCTTTTGGAACAGATTTTTTTCTCCAACCTCAACAGAGTTGGTTCTGTTGGATACCAGTTTTAACTTCTTCATGTCCTCCAAAATAGAGAAGAGACCATTTTTCCTCTTGGTTGGAATCACAGAATTATTGAATCTTATACTGAAAATAGTCTAAGTTATGTAGTCCAGTCAATACATTTATTTCCTCCAACCTCTTCCTGTAAAGGCAGCCCTAACTTGAGTCCCTCAACAATGACTATAAGGAAGAATAGAAATTTTGTCATAGGTCTTCTAATCCACATCATGAAAAGAAACTACTCGAAACCATTAGATATCATCCATAATCAATATTTACCTTTCAAAAAGCTGAGTCTAGGGCTAGCTGGTGGTGCAGCTGTCATATGACTGGACCCACATGGAAAAAAAACTTCGGGGTTCACGTCTCAGGACTTCCCTGAACATGTCATTTCCCTGGGATCGAGGCTGCCTAAGACTGTGAGTGGATCATGGCATAAGGACCTTGCTAGGATATCTGTTTCTCTTTCTCTCTCTCAAAAATAAATATGTAGATGAACTTTAAAAATATGAATTAAAACAGATTATGTGTAAAGCTCTGAATTCAGCTAGAAAGGAAAATTGAAGCAAATATGAAATCATTGTCGATTATGATTTGGCTTAAGCAAAAGGGATTAAAGAAGCTCACACCTCCACTGACAGCCAAACAACTCACATAGCTAAACTTTCAAGTATGTTTGAAATCGTTGTCTTTGCAGGAATCTCCCTTTGGGAGATAACATCTTTATACTGATGTATTTAACTTCTTGCCACCAAGTGATACTTGGAATCGTAGAAATGCTTTTTCGAATTATATGTTGTAGATTCTATGACTTGAAAAAGTTCTCAAACTTTTAAACAATAGCAAGTCTGTAAAATATGTATCATATAATAAGAGTACAATAAATGGTATTTCTTTACCTCCTTTTCTTCTTCCCATTGTACTTACCCAGGCTTCCTTAAATACTAGAATTATTTTTAATTATTTCAAAGTCACTTTTTTTCATCAGTTAGCTAGTTTGCCACTTTAAGATGCAGTTCTAGCTTCAGTTCCACTAAATTACAAGACTAATCTTCCAAATCATGCTAACTTCAGAAGTAGCTGTGTGACCTTTAGTTAATGGGATACTTATTTTCTTCCTATGTAAAACCCATTAAGACTACCTCAGGGCTTTTTCATTAAATTAGTGAAGATATTTTCAGTGCCAAATTTGTAGCTACCAATTTAAAATAGCTTTATTAAGACTAACTCGATTTATTTAATAATTATTGAGCTATTCTATACACTGGGCATTAATGAGGCAAAAAGAAACGAGTTCCACCTTAGTCACTTCACTAAGGAATCATATAACTGCCATCAATTTACTCTTTCTCTGAGGTCTGAACTTCTAGACCTCAAATCTATCCAAGTTTCTAATTCTGATAATACTATTCTACAAGAATCCCTATCCTCAGTCAGTTCTATAAACCTCCCAAATTTTTTCAGAGAGAAAGAGATTCTCTTCTCTCTCTTTCTCTCTCTTCCTTCCTCCCTCCCTCCCTTTCTCTCTGAAGAGCACAAGAGTCATTTGGTAATAAAAATAATAACTATAAATAATTTTTAAAAATTAAATATTGCATGTATGGGACACAGAAATAAATTAGTATCAGTTGATAATAACATGTATAGTATCCTGAACTGGACCGCCATGAAGTGTGTTCATGTTGGGTAAATTCAATTTCCAAACTAAGTGATGTATACTGATTGAATGTATAAAAATTTATTAAAATAAAAATGAAATATCTTAGCACCAATCCTGAGAGTCTCTCAGTTTTCAATTCTCATGTTTTCCAGTTAAAGGATCTTGAAGTCACTATGAGCAGAAAGACCTGGTAGCAGGATTATTTTAAGAATTGAGAGCTCATTGAAGAGTAGAAAATGTAGTCAATGGACCATCTGCCCCAGAATTACCCAGGCCTTCAGAAAAGTAATTTAATAGATTCCTAGGCCCTCTTTGTTGTATGCTAATTCAAAAGGTGTTAAGAGGCAGAACTTAGAATCTGTATTTTTAACGGGGTCTCCAAGTGACACTTACACATGTAATCATTTGAAAACCATTATCCTAAAGCCTATGTTATTTGTCTCAAAGCAAGTAGGACATAAAAGGGAGGTTGGGAAGCGATAGTATTGTATTGTAAAATAAAATAATTCCAGAATTGGTCCTGTGGCCTAGTGGCTAAGAGAACCAGATCCCACATGGCTGACCGCAATTCAAATTCCAGACTCGGCAGCTTGAAAAGCACACCAGGCATGTGTGCAGGAGTGGCCAAGGACCTGATTTCTTCCTTTCCCTTTTTCTATCTCTCTTTCTCTCTTGCTAGCGAGTACATGTGCCTTCTAGTAACTAAAATTAAAACAAAAAAAAAGATAACAATAAATGAAAAGAAAACCATTCCAGCTGTCTTAGCACCAATCCTAAGGATGAGTTCCTCAATTAGTATACTTGCCTCATCTGTGGAATTTGATTCAACTTCGATTCTCCCTTCTTGGGCGTTATAATTTTCTATCAGGCTTTTCCTGGAAGGCTGTGTTACTCAGGTTGCCACTCATGTAACTTCTAAACCTACATTATGTTCATTAAATGCCTTGGAATAATTTCCTTCGGAACTCTCCTCTGACCCTACCTCATTTCCCCCTCTCCCTCCTTACACAGATGGCAGAAGAAAGTTCACAAATTATCTCCTTCAGAAAAAAAAGAAGAAGAAGAAGAATGTCTATGCTCTGCCCTAGATGTGATAAGCAAGGGTCAACCAGTCTTAGCTGCAGTAGCCACAATTTTAGGAATAAGTCATCTATTGTCCCACATGGAAGTCTCTTTCTCTGACCTTGAAGTGATTCTAGAGAACACTTTGTAATAACCAAGTATCCAAACCTGAAATGTGGTTATAAGATCATCTAACTCCACAGACCAGCACTTGTAAAATGCTTCAAGTTCTTTTTGATTTTTTTTTCTCTGCAGTCACCAGAGAATGAAATTTGATTGACATTAAGATAAGATACTCTGGGGGCCAGCAGTTAGCGTAATGGCTATGTCGCTGGACTCCCATGTAGTTGACCATAGTTTGCCTCCTGGACCCGGCGGCTTAAAACTCACACCGGGCGCATGTGCATGTGTGCCCAAGATCCAGAGAGAATGGAGGAGAAGGGATTGCAGCGTTCCCATCCCCCCTGGGGGGTGATTTCTTGCTGTCTCTCTGTCTCTCTCTGTCTGTCTGGCGAGCGCACGCGCCCTATAACAACAACAAAAAAAAACCCTCTCCAAAAAAAAAAAAAAGAGAGAAGATACTCTGATTTTATTTATTTAACCTTCAAGAGCTCAAGGAACCATGTGTAAAATAATTTCTCATCTCATTGGTGGGATTATTAATACTTTCCAAGAGGGCTATCTAAATATCCTTTATATTCATTTATAAGCTAATGTCTCAGCTTTCCTAATCTTCTGATCAAGATATTTACAGTCTCTAAATATCCATAAGAGAACAAAATAAATGAGAAACATTTTTAAAAACCTATATTATCAAAAAATTTCCCACAGTTTTATTTGAGGCTGTCTGAATTAGCAGAGTGTTTTTCTACAAATTATTTCTCCAAGGATAAGTTAAATCAAAAGAAAAAATATTTGGTTAAATTCATGTTTTTCTCTATAACTTCATAATGTTAAATAGAAGACTTTGGATCAAAGACTCTATGTAAATTATTTTCTAAAAAAAATGTAACCCAGAATTAAAAAGAAATCTTAGATAAAGTTAAAAGAAATAACTATTTATTAAAAATAGCTAAAATATCATTCATGACTTTTTTTTTTCCCTTTCTTTTTTTGGAGAGTGTTTTGCTATAGGGTGCCTGTGCTCTCCAGAAAGACAGAGACAGACAGAAAGTGAGAAATCACCCCCCCAGGGGTCATGGCCATGCCGCAATCCCTTCTCCTCCATTCTCCTCTTGGGATCTTGGGCATGCGCGCACATGCGTCCAGCGTGAGTTTAAGCCGCCGGGTCCAGGACTCGAACCACGGTCAACGACGTGGGAGTCCAATGACATAGCCATTACGCTAACTGCTGGTCCCCATCCATGACTTTTTAACACATGCATTGACTATTTTCTTCTTATAAAACACAGAATAGTTAAAAAACACAAAAAAAGTGATCAACTAATAACATGCTTATTTTTTTGAGTTAGTTTCCAACTAAGAAAATAAGAAACATTTGACACAGAAGTAAGCAATTCCAAGCTTCTTACCTTCATAACCTCGAGAGCATAGATCATCTGTGGTCCCATAGATCTTCCACCTGCTCCATAAACCAGATCCCTTGTACAGCATAATGTTCTTTTCTTGTCTGTTGCCATAGTTAAAAAATAAGTCTTCCCCCTTGATCCCCAGAAGTGTGTCATTTTTGCACTCCCATTTCTGAAATTCACTTTGTGAGTCACAGGCATATAGAGTGACGGCCACCCAATCAGTTTTCGATGGCACCCCCAAGCATAATTTAAAAGCAACACTCATGATCTGGGAATCGGAAACCCATCGGAATTTCTGAGAGTCAGCATCCTGGTTGCAAACTGCAGTTTGGACTGCACTGGAACTTACTGCTTCCACACAGCGCTTGTGGTCTTCATTATAGATTAAAAATTGCCGAGTGTCTGTTGAAAAAAAAAAAGAAAAGAGAAGAAAAATAAGAAAAAATAAAGCATGCATAATTGGGGCCATGTAACAAGGATTATATTTTAGGTCAAAAGTTCCCAATCTTTTCATTTCTCTAAAGACTAATAATTATAGGGGAAGAGATGAAGATGACTTATTTGAGCCAGCTCAGTTCCGCTTGGAGACCCCTGAAGCTGGAGAAGGGACTGGATTGAGGGACAAGGTGTGGGTAACACCCGTGGCTACCTAGCAATTGACTGGAAATCTCCGAATTGCCCTACTATGTTAGGAGAAGCTTTATGGAAACGCTCACCTTAAAGGCTCACAAACTGCAGTAGAGTGAATGTAAAAGGCAGATAACACAAGGGAATAATATCAATCTGAGAGAAGATGATTTGGGAAATGTGAATATAATAAGATGTATAATTAAACATAGTCACGTATTGCTTAACGATGAGGATACACTGACACATTCCAAACAGTGCATCACTAAGAGATTTTATCATTTTCTGAACACCATTGAGTGGACTCACACAACCCACATGGAATAACCTGCTACGCACCCAGGCTGCATGAAACAGATATTATTATCTAATGAGACCACCATCATAGGTGTGGTCTATCATTGACCAAAATGCCATGATGTGGTGTATGACTTATATGTATGTCCCACAATAGGGTTTTATTTTATTTATGATAGAGTATCTGTGTACACACAAGAGAGAGAGAAGCATGCACCCTCAGCAGGATCTTGCCATGCCATCATCCCTTTACTCCACATCTGGGCACATGCACATACCCATGCCCAGTAAGTTTCAGGTCAACCAAGCTGAGGAGCCAACCAGCAGTTGCCTGTGCCTGGGCATCTTCCAGCTGGGCCAGCCAGGCAGAGTCTCCAGAATAGGATTTTGAAGTCTGACACATCCCAACTACCTTTAAGATAGATGAAATCTATATACCATTACTCTAATGATGGCACTAGGTCTTGAGTTTTTAAAATATTTCTACTTTAGGTCATTTTATCTTCATTCTCTATCTTGCACATTTTTGAACTAAGTACTTTCTCTGTAGCCCACGCTGAGATAACTTGACAAGCTTTTTGTTTCATTTGTTTTGCTTTGCTCTGCCTTCCAGCAATGGGTAATTTAGAGATTTAGCAGCTAGAGATAAATGAGGATCTATCCTATTATGCTAACTTTATTTCATTGGCGTACTGTATCTAACCTATGTATAACAAAAAGATACAGAATTTATTTCAAAGTGGAATAATTTGTGAGGCTTTCAATAAAGGGTAAATAAATGTAAGTTTTTATATCATTAGAGATACTGTTATATGAACATAATCTTAAAAATAGCAGTGTAATTTGGGATTGTAATTTGGGATTGGTGACCTCAGTAAAAAAATATGGATGCTTTTTGGTACACAGCTGTAGCTAGCAAAACAGGACTTCCTGTTACAGAAAGGGAAAGGGGAAAAAAAAGGCTCCAGTAAGCATATGTTTTTCCCTTGAATCAAAATTGAATTAATGTAAAGGGGTTTTCTGTTTGTTTATTCTTAAAGAACATACAAATGAAAAAAACTGACTGATTTCTTTTGGTTTTGTTTTTCTTTTAGGTTTTTGCCATAGGGCACATGCATTACTAGAGAAACAGAGACAGTAGGAGGGAAAGTGAGAAATCATACCCCGGGGAAATAGCCACACAGCAATCCCTGGTCCTTCCGTTCTCCTCCTGGGATTTTGAGAATTCACACATATGCACCCACTGTGAATTTCAAGCCTCCAGGTCTGGAACTCAAGCCACAGTCAGCCATGTGGGAGTCCAGCACCTTAACCACCATGCCACCTGCGGGCCCTGATTTAATTTCTTTCAATTTTGTGACATAAATATAAACTGAACACTTCTTGTAAAGTGTTTCTAAATCCTTCTACTTAATCAGATTCTTTCCAAATGAGCTGGTGGTATTGCATATGTTTGAAGCTCTGATTAAATGAGCTCATTATTGTTAGTTAAATCATCCCAGCAAAACAAAACAAAGTACAAATAGTATCTCTAGTAGGGTCCTCCACTGTTTATAAAGGTCTCTCACAAGCTATATTCTATTTATTATATTTAGCACCCCAATGAGGTTAGCACCACTTACTTTGAGTCAGTTCTAGGACCAGCAGATAAATCTTATAATGAATCTTTGCCTCAAAGTGTTGTTTTCCAGGGACCTAACAGTGGTACAGCAGAAAAATACACCATTCTGTGAGGCAGTTCCACATGGGAAGATAGTGGTTCAAGTCCAGAGATGTCCCTGGGTACACTGGGCACACATTTGCCCAAGATCCAGGGCTGGCTGAAGGCTGCAGGTGGATTGTAGTGTCAAGGCCCTGGTAGGGGTACTATCTCTTTCTCTCTCTCTGTCTCTGTCTCCTCCTCTCTCTCTCTCTCTCTTTTTTTTTTCCTTTTTTTGAGAGGCTTTTGCTATAGAGTGCATGCGCTTGCCAGAAAGACAGAGAGAGACAGAGAGATAGAAAAGGAGAAATCACCCTCCGGGGAGATGGTCACACCACAATCAATCCCTTCTCCATTCTCCTCTCAGGATCTTGGGCACGCACGCACATGCACCCAGTGTGATTTTTAAGCCACCAGGTCCGGGACTCAAACCACAGTTGACTATATGGGAATCCAGTGACATAGCCATTATGCTAACTGCTGGTCCCTCCTCCTTCTCTCTTGAAATAAATAAACTTAAAAAAAAAGTTTCTCCTGATGCTTTCCTGTATCTGTTTCTGTCTACACTTATTCAAGATCCCCTGCCTCTATCCTACCTAGACCCGTTGGCTGAATTATTCATTTGTGCTGGTTTGATTTCTTAGAATTGAGGTTCAGTAAAACCTGGACCAAGAACCCCTGCTTCTTGGGCTTGTCTGGAACTGACCTCTGTCAGATGTACACACATGGTCATACCGGATCACCCCTCTAGCTGAGCTTCTTCCATGTTTGACCTTATTACGGTGCTGTGCATGCTCTAGTGGGAAAAATGGGTAACTTTCTGCTTTGGCAATAAAAGTAAAAATTTAATATTGCTTGCAATAAAACACAGGAAATAGAAAAATAAGTAAGTGCTTAAAAAACAGTTATTGAGGGGGTCACCAGGTGGTGTGGTGGCTGAGTACTGGACTCCCACATGGCCGATTGCAACAGGAGTCTTTGACCTGGCAGTTTGCTTTCTCCCTCCCTCTTTCTCTTTCTCTCTGTCTCTCTCTCTCTCTCTCTCTGGTGAGCACACGTGCCCTATAGGAAATTAAAAATAATAATAATACATAAAATTAAATAAATAATTATTTTAAAAATATAAAAACAGTTACTATGATCATTTGCCACACATAAATGTAAATTTAGGCTCTTCTAATCTAAAAAGGTAATGAACACGGACAATTCCATCATATATATCTGTAAACACAACTACATTGGCCTTTACACATAAAGTCATTCGATTCGTTTCTGCTACTCTACCTTCTCTTTTCCTATCTGGACTTAGAATCCACTTTTCAGATAACATTGCTCAGTAAGGCCTCATCAATAATACTAAGGAGAAGAGTCTGTGAAAAATTCATGAAAAATGCATATTATGAAAAAACTATGGACAGATTTCAAATAATTTTGCACCAAAAAACAATCACACTTTAATGCCATTTTTCCACCACAGTTTTTGAAGTTCTCAAGTATGAGCTCATGTATCTTCCATCCCATACTTCAGCCATTTTTATTGTAATGTCAAACAGGAAATGTCTATGAACAGGTCAGATTTAGTCAACCAACCAACTGGTAAGCAACCATTTAATAAGATATATGGAAGTTTTTCTGTATAATAGTGTTTCTAGTTCAGAGGAAAATTTGACTTTTATATGTCTAATTTTCATCTTGATTTCCATCTTAATTTTACTGTAAGAATGGATAACATGTAATAAGCAAACATCTAAGCATCTCTTTTGCATTCATGGCACCACCATACACCCAGATCGACAAGCCAAAAACCTAGGTGTCTACCTATATTCCCAGCTTGCCCTCACTTTCTATTGCAATAGCAGAATCTATTGGTTCTGCTCAAAAAAGTACTGTGATGCTTAATTTTATGTATGAATTTGGATGGGTCATGGCACCTAGATACTTGATCAAACACCAGTCTGGATTGACTGTGAAGTATGTTTTTTTGGGGGGTTTTTTGGGGGGTTTTTTTTGAGAGATTTTCACTGTAGGGCGCGTGCGCTCGCCAGACAGACAGAGAGAGACAGAGAGACAGAAAGCGAGAAATCACCCCCCAGGGGGGATGGTCACACCGCAATCCCTTCTCCTCCATTCTCCTCTCGGGATCTTGGGCATGCACGCACACGCGCCCGGCGTGAGTTTTAAGCCACCGCGTCCGGGACACGAACCGCGGTCGACTACGTGGGAGTCCAGCGACATAGCCATTACGCCAACTGCTGGTTCCCTGAAGTATGTTTTTGAGATAAATTCTCACTTAAATCTGTAGACTCTGAATAAAGCAGATTATCCTCCACAGGGTGGGTGGGTCCCATCCAATCAGCTGAAGGCCTTAGAAAAAACAAGCTGAGGAAGGGAGAAAGGAGGATTCCCTGAAGAAGAGGGTATTCTGCCTCTAACCTACTTTTAAACTTGAATTACAACATCAACTCTCTCTCCTGAGTTCAGCCTACCCTGCAGACTTTGGACTTAGCTAGATATACAATTAAAAGTGTGTGTGTATGTGTGTGTGTGTGTGTATGCAAACACACATATGTATTATATACATATGTACACACATTCATGTATATGATTTCAAATATTTTTGCTCCAAAAACCAGTCATACTTTAAGGCCATTTTCCACAAAAGTTTTTGAAGTTCTCAAATTGAAGCTCATATATCTTCCATCTCACACGTGAGCCATTATTATTGTAATGTCAGACAGGAAACGTAGATGGGCAGGCCAGATTTAGTCAACCAACCAAC